AGCAACTTCTTTTTCAAGGTTCCAGGTCCTGCCTGGTTCTAGTAACATGACTTGATCCTTTTCCTCTTTAGGTCTAGAGATGGGACTGTCATTTGGCTGACAGAAGTTAGATGGTTCATTATCCACTGTGAACTGGCTCACATCTCTGCAAATGTCCTTTCACTAAATTCTTATGAATGGAATAATCCTAAGTGTTTCGTTGATCATATGGCCAGCATAACTATAAACAAACTGGGAATCAAAATCAGTATTCAAAACTTAAAAAACTTAACTTAAAAATATAAATTTACACTCATTAGTCTTTCAATGTAAAGAGAATATTTTTTCTCAGAATATGTGCTTATTGATTAGAATTCAAACTTGTCTTTATTGCATGATTCTCACATGTAATTTATCCTGTCCAATTTACAATTTCAATTTTAGTAGAGATATGAGAACTTATTCTTGTAAAATAAGTGCAGTATCTGTTTGGAATTTCTCCCACTCTTATATTGTTTCTTGCTCACCTAAAGTAGGAGCACTTTTTTTTTTTTTGCTACAGTCTTTATTGTGTCTTTATGAAACATTCCGTTTTGTTTTCATAAATGTGGCAATTCTTCCTTTCCTCACCCTAATTAAATATTGCATAAACACAATGAAACACAGTAAATAATTGCAATGAAAAATACAAATGAAATAAATAGGGTTGGAAACAACACAACATATTTGAATAAACAAATTACAATGCAAATTGTAGCAGCAAGTGGCATCTTAGAGGAGCCTGTTGGCTGAGTGTCTGTATTTTTACCCAGAAAATGTAGTGTAAATTAAACCATTTTGGCTAATTAGAAGAGAATTGTAAGACTTGCTTAATATGAACATTCCCAGGCTCTCAACTGGAAAAGAATCCACTTGCATTGCAGGAGACCCTGGTTTGATTCCCTGGTGTTTCAGTCGGTAAAGAATCCGCAATGCTGGAGACCTGGGTTCCATCTCTGGGTTGGGAAGATCCCCTGGAGGAGGGCTTGGCAACCCACTCCAGTATTCTTGCCTGGAGAAGCCCGCTGGAGAGAGGAGCCTGGCGGGCTGCAGTCCATGGGGCTGCAAAGAGTCGGACACGACTGAGCGACTAAGCCCAGCACAGCATGAACATTTCCGGGTGGCTCAGGGGTAAAGAATCCCCTGCCGATGCAGGAGACTCAGGTTTGATCCCTGGATCAGGAAGATCTCCTGGAGAAGGAAATGGCAACCCACTCCAGGATTCATGCCTGGAGAATCCCAAGGACAGAGGAGCCTGGAAGGCTACAGTTTATGGGGTGGCAAAGCGTCAGAGATCACTGAGCAGAAACACATAGGAGCATGATAAATCAAATTACTATCACTATAAAAGCATGGCGAGTTTGTACCTAATAGCCTGGGAGAAAGGAAGCCAGGGAGTACTCTCAAAAGAAGTGATCTGGGGCTGGTCTGAAGGGAGTGAGTTATCTCAACTGATTGTTCACAGTCAGTTACAGATCGAACTCCTCATTCTACTCTTCCCTCCTCCTCACTACTGCACTTGACTAGTCTTAAAAATAATAATAATAATAAAAAGAAGTGATCTGGAAGTCAATCCATACCTGAAAGATGACTAGGATTTATTAAGGCAAAGAGGGATGATTATTCCCCTAGAAGAAATGACATATGGGAACCACTGATACACAGAAGTAAGTGCAAACTGAGAGAAAGAGAGACAATTCAAGAGAGATGAAAAGGCAGGACTCACTATGTGATATAAGACAGCTTGGCCAGTGGTTTTACCTCTGCAAGTAGATATTTAATCCACCTCATTGGGATGAGTGAGGCTTAAGTGAGATGGCACAGGAGAGTTCTCAGAAAAGATTGTTTTACTTAGAAAGGTTAATCTACTCTGGCTGATGTCAAGGAGAACAGGTGTGTCCTTCATTGTTATTAAAGCCTCTCCAAAACACACTGTGACTATTACTAAAATACAACCAGACTGTATTTAAAATACTGAAAATTCTAACTTTGTAATCAAGCTGTAATCAGATCAATTATTTGATCATTATTTAATGTCATGAATGATTTGTTTTAAAATATGAAAAAACTGTTATAAAGTACTACAAATCTGTAAGAAATACTGCTTTATTATCCCTACAATAACAGTTATGTGAATTGCCAAAATAACAAATGTCTATTACTTCTCTGAACTGTTTCAGTTGTTCATAAACAGACTTTTAGGCATGAGATTTGGGGCTGCTCTGTGTCTAAATTTGCTCTGTGATCAATAAAATCAAGATACAAGCCTGATATCTGACCATCAGATTTCACTTCCCCATTGTCCCCTCCTCCTCATCCACTCTAGCTGTGAGAAAGGCAATATCCTGCTTGTGATATTGGACTGAAGAAAATCTAACAGGATTGAGAACTGAAAATTTGCTTTGTTTTGTTTTGAATTTTAAGATAATACACTGGGGCTAATTTTTCACTCCTGTAAAATATTGCTATGTAAATCCCTGTAAATTATTCTGAAAAAACGTTTTTCCCTTTAAGTTCCTATGTTTCTTTGCAGCATTGCCATTTGAAGGTGACACTTGGATACTGATTTAAAGTTCTTTCTGGTGAAGTTAAAACAGCAAACCCCATGGATAGTGCGTCACTGGATGTCCTGCCTGTGTGTATGTAGGTAAGAGAAGGAGAAAGTTACAGGGACATCCCACACTTATCCTAAGGACCAGGCTATTTTATTTGGATCAGAATTCTAAGAGATCAAAATCTTATAAAATGGGGGCTGGGGGTGTTATTTCTTAGATATACAGACTGAAGAGCTTACAGATGCATTGATAGAATGCTGTGGATCTTCATTATAGTAATTATTTAGGGCTTGATGCATAGATGAAATTTTATTTGCCTTATTTTAATAACTGCTGAGGTCCACGTTAAGTACACTGGAACTTATTACTCTATTCTCTCTGCTTTTGTATGTATTCACAGTTTTCATAAGTTCTTGTTGATTTGTTGTTTGTTCACCCAGTGTCGCTTTTCCTGGAGCTGTACTGTCTGTCACCTGTATTATCTTAGGTCAGACACAGCCATCAAACCTCTGTCTCATCTCTACACCCTCCTGTCTTCCTCCAGCCTGTGCACTGTCTATGCAGTCACTTCAAGGTCTACAGAGAATTGAGTTTAACTCCAGCTTTTAATTCAGAAAAATGCCAACCCACCTTTCGCCTCAAGGCTGAACTATACTCCTCATCCTCATTTGCCAGAGTTCTGTAGTAAGCATTTTCTTGGCAATATTAAAAATATGACACCATGCTTCCCATTAGAATATCTCTCCCTTGGTGAGAGAGGGAGGAACAATAGCTGGATTAAGGCAAGATCTTTATATTGGTCCCTTAGCCTGGCATAAACTTTTTTTTTCTCCTTGGCCCTGCCGTAGGCATGTAGGATTTTTATTCCCAGACCCGGGACTGCACCCAGGCACTCTGCAATGAAAGCATGGAGTCTTAACCACTGGGCTGCCAGGGAATTATCTCTCGGATACTTTTTCAATAGCACTTCCTGCTTCAAGTCAATTATCAGGCTACTCATTCTCCAGACTTTCTGGCAGGGGACAGAGTGGGCATACTTTCTATAATTCAAAACTGAAATTCTGTTATACCCTTCCATGCAAATTGTTGATTATCTCCCCTCCTGCCTCTGAAACACCTCCTCCTTCAAGAAGTGATAAAATTTCTTATTAAGATACATATTATCCCATGTGCTGTGCTGGTTCACCTGTCATCATATCCAGTCACAAAATTTTGGCCAGATCTCAACTGTGCCTCACTTTTCCCATCTCTGGGCTTCCCTTGTGGCTCAGCTGATAAAGAATCCACCTGCAATGTCGGAGACCTGGGTTCAATCCCTGGGTTGGGAAGATCCCCTGGAAAAGGGAAAGGCTACCCACTCCAGTGTTCTGGCCTGGAGAATTCCATGGACTTAGCCCATGGGGTCTCAAAGAGTCAGACACAACTGAATGACTTTCACTTTTCCTTTCTCATTTTCCTGTGAACATGCCAACAATTGCATTTTGCATTATCCCAAGTTCTTTAGCATGCCTTATTTTTCCTTAAGAAGTGAATCAATATTGAAATGATTTGTACTTTAATAAGACTAGAAAATCTTTAAATCACTGGGCAGAGATTTTGTGTGTGTATGTGTGTGTGTGTATTTACAACTTGGTATGTTAACATTTCCATGGCCAACAAACCTTCTGAAAATCTTTTTATTTGGTACAGTGTTCCACACTACCCAAGTCAAAGACAAGCTCTTTCTCATGGTTTGCAAACACTACCAGACCAGGCAAAGTTCCTCTCTCTTAACTCCAGCCATAGCATGTCCTATTAATCTAACCATTATTAATAATGGACTATACACATTGCCTTCATTACCATTATGCTTAATCTTTTCTCTCAAATTTCTACTTTACCCACCAGCGAATTCCAATTTTCTTTTTTGACTCAGGTCAGTCATCATCACCGTCTAAAAGTTCCCAATATATTTGTCTATGCAGCTTCTGGTTGCAGAGATGCCACTTCATATCTCTCTTACTGCCTAATAGTGACTATACTTCTGAAATGCAGCTTAGAGACTTCCCTGCAGGCCAGTAGTCAAAAGTCTGCACTGCTGATGCAGTGGGTCGGGGTCCCCTGGTCAGGGAACTAGATCCCACATGCCACAACTAAGAGTTCTCATGTTGCAACAAATATTGAAGATCCCATGTGCAGCAACGGAGATCCAGAGCAGTCAAATAAATAAATAAATAAATAGTAGCTTAGATAGAAAAAGAGTATGAAACCATCCTTGGATGTCTTGACAATGAAATATCTACCTTTTCCATTTATTTACAACAAATTTTATCAAGATTATATGTGTGCATATATATTTTCCCACTAAAATGGGCTTTTTTGGCCAGTGCAGAGCTGCTTGGAGGCTGGTAGGGGTGGTGAGGCCCGAAGCAGCTTCTGGAATTTCAGAGCAGCCCTGATCAGTACAAGGTGGACCCAGGAGTCTTGAGTTACACAGACAGTCTACTGCGGCAGTCAGACGTCTCACTATTGGATCCTCCAAGCTGGCTCAATGACCATGCTATTGGGTTTGTCTTTGAGTACTTTGCCAACAGTCAATTTCATGACTGCTCTGACCACGTCTGCTTCATCAGTCCCGAAGTTACTCAGTTCATCAAGTGCACTGGCAACCCAGCAGAGATCGCCATGTTCCCTGAACCCTTTAACCTACCAAATAAGAGAGTTATATATTTGGCCATCAACTCCAACCTCACAGCTGGGGGAGCCCACTGGAGCTCGTTGGTTTATCTACAGGATAAAAATGGCTTTTTTCATTATGATTCTTTTAGTAGTAGTAACTCATTCCACACAAAGCAGGTAGCAGAGAAACTAGAGGCTTTCTTAGGCAGAAAAGGAAACAAACTGGCCGTTGTGGAAGAGAAAGCCCCTTCTCAACAAAGCAGCTATGACTTTGGGATGTACATGATATGTAACACTGAGGCCTTGTGTCAGAACTTCTCTAGACCACAGCCAGAATCACTACGGCGGCTACTCACTCTCACACACATCAGAAAGAAGAGAGAAGAATGGAAGGATCTCACAGCCAGACTTGCTAAAAATTAGCTGTTGAAATATATTTGACTTTTGAAATCTCTTCTTTCTGCCTGTCCCCATGTACTGGATGGCTGCAGTCTCGGTACCTGAGGAAAGATGCCTGGGAGAGGAAAGCTTAGAAAGCTTACTTTCTCCTGAGAGAACGTTGTCTTCTGCATTATCCTAATGGAAAGTGTCACTTTAACCCTAACTTCAGAGCAATATATTCTGTGATGATATCTTCAAAATATGCACCAAAACTGATTAATTCTCTTTTGGGCTCCCTTACCTACATTGGTTTATTCCAAAGAAAAAAGATTGATCTGTAAAGCAAATTAAGAATATGTGAAACATAGAAGCAAGAAAAAAATCATAGAGCAACCGAAAACTTACTGCACAGCCCACATATTTCAAGAGATCAACTGACTAGAAGCAGATCAAGACCTAACCTAATTCAAGATCGAAGTATTATAAATTATTCAGTTCTATAATAACTCTTCCATTCAACAAGCAAAGGCTTTCTCAGCTATGACCTTTGCCAATACTTGATAAAGATGGTGTTAGCCCAGAGTCACCCATCTGATTCCTGGGGCACTTTAAGAAAGGGGGTATCTTAAATAACTTTGTTGAAATAAATGTCTGTGGTGGACCTCTTGTTTTATATCTGAAACTTACTAAAAGTTGGTTTATTTTTGAGATATAAAGGAGAAAAAGTGACCTTTCTCAACTCTTTCACTTAATTCAAAATGCAGACAATGTAATTTTTGAAATGTGAAACCAAGATAAAAAGATGCTATTCCTTCTAAAAAAAAAGAGTATTCTTTTCAATAAGAAGACTTTCTTGGAATTAGCATTGTGTCAGCCATTTGCTAGACAGTTGCAACAAATATTAGTCATCTATTATCATCCATTTCAATCATAGACAATCCCATTTCTAGTTGCTGTTTTTCTGACTCCTGACCTTACCCTCTGTCAGTATGAAGAGAGATGGATAGACAATAGCTCTATTCAGGGACTTCCCTGTGGTCCAGTGGCTATGACTTTGCATTCCCAATGCAGCGGGCCCGGGTTCAATCCTTAGTCAGGTAACTAGATCCCCCGTGCTGCCATTAAGAGTTCCTCTGCAAATAAGAGTTCCCATGATGTAACTAAAGATCCTGCATGCCATAACTTAAAAAAAAAAAAAAACCTGTGTGCTGCAACTAAGACCTGGCACCCCCAAATAAATATTTTTTAATAAAAAAGAAAAAGAATGTGGTATCTGGCCAGCACCTGTTATTATTTCATTTATTCCTTTAGTTAACATTTCACCTATGCATCAGGCTGTGCCCTAAGCTCTGGAGGACATGGATAGTATAAGAAACTCCCTTCCTGTCTTAGGAGCACACAGTGCATTATATTGGGAGAGAGAAATGTAGAGAGATCACTGTTGTCTTTGTTGTTTAGTTGCTCAGTCATGCCTGACTCTTTGTAGCCGGATGGACTGCAGCACGCCAGCTCGGCTCCCTTGTCCTGCACTATCTCCTGGNAAGCATTGGTTTTTCCAGTAGTCATGTATGGATGTGAGACTTGGACTATAAAGAAAGCTGAGCACTGAAGAATTGATGCTTTTGAACTGTGGTGTTGGAGAAGACTCTTGAGAGTCCCTTGGATTGCAAGGAGATCCAACCAGTCCATCCTAAAGATCAGTCCTGGGTATTCATTGGAAGGACTGATGCTGAAGCTGAAACTCCAATATTTTGGCCACCTCATGTGAAGAGTTGACTCACTGGAAAAGACTCTGATGCTGGGACGGATTGGGGGCAGGAAGAGAAGGGGACAGCACAGGATGAGATGGCTGGATGGCATACCAACTGGATGGACATGAGTTTGAGTAAACTCCGGGAGGTGGTGATGGACAGGGAGGCCTGGCGTGCTGTGATTCATGGGGTCGCAAAGAGTTGGATATGGCTGAGTGACTGAACTGAACTGAACTGAACCTTGAATAAATCACATCACCTCTCTGAACTTGAGTTTCTTTGCAAAATGTAAGCACTGGTACCTAACTTAAACAGATTCCAAGGGCTGTGAGAGAGGCTCAGTTAAGACAATAAAAGGGAAAACATACTTTGCAAACCAACAAGACTTGTGTGGATTTTGTTATTATTAATAGTATTGTTGCTATGTGAACAAGTCTGGGACTGATCAGGTTCAGACTAGTATTAATTTATATGACTGAACAAATGGGTGGCTCTGGTCTGCTACTTCCAAAAGCTCCCTGAATTTCTATACCAAAGTTTCCCTTGTCCTTATAGTTTGGTCTTCTCTTGCCCAAAAGGATGAGTTTTAGAAGAAAACTGAAATAGTTACTTTTAGACTCTGTTTAGGACTCTTTGGAGATGCAACCTCCATAGGTAAAGCTAAGACAGGCACTAAAACGGACTTGTGTCTGTTTAGGGCTGGCAGTGAACTTTGTCAGTGCTCTGCCCAAACCCTTATCCCAAATCCCACCTGCAACCCTTCTTACCTGTTCTGTGTGCCCCTGTGCAATCTGTGTCTCTTCCATCTTGGATCCGTAACCTTCTTACAGAACAGCCTTTGATTACTGGAGCTGCTTTTACCTGAAAGCACAGAAATCAGAATTGCATGGTTGTTTGCAATTCAAACATTGTCCCCACCTCCAAATAGGAGCAATTCAAAGACAAGGATGGACTCACTCAGGGCTCTGAAAGCTCAGCTCCTCCCCTAGAGTTCAGACAGAGCTCATCTGCTTTCTGAACTGAGGCTGAGACTGTCCTTAAAATTTTACCCTTGTTTGGCTTGTTCTTCTTGCCAAATTCTCCCCATCTCCTATTGTCCAATTTTCCCTGTTTCTCTTTGGAGTATTTTCTTAATACATGATCTTCCTTTGTCTGCTTCTGGGAACCTGACCTCAGGCAAATCCCCTTAGTTTTGAGAAGCTAAGATACACATACTCTAAGCAAGTGGCTAAGGAACCCCAGCATGGGTTTGTCTAAGTAAGTGGGAGAAAAACGACTGTGGAATAGAGACAATTTCTTTGGCAACAAAAGAGGCATTATTTCAAAAGTTTTCCCTTAGAAGATTCTACTGAATAAACTGCTGCTGCTGTCGCTTCATTCGTGCCCGACTCTGGGCGACCTCATAGACAGCAGCCTACCAGGCTCTGCCGTCCCTGGGATTCTCCAGGCAAGAACGCTGAAGTGGGTTGAATAAACTCTAGTGGTAATAAATGTATTCAACAGTAATTGAATTATGCCTCTGCAATATTTACTGTAGCAGGTACTGGGGGCATATAAGACATGGTATTTTAGACTAGAAGAGGAGACCTACTACTTGACAATAAAAAGACTGGAGTTTTATACTGTACTTCAAAATTAATAACCATTGTCTTTATAATTTATAAAGTGTGAAAAAACTTGCATTTGTTGAATGTAGATAACTTTACATACATAGTCACATTTAATTCTCAACACAACCATGTGAAGCAATCATTCTCACTTGAAGATGAGGTGAATAATGTAAGATTAACACAATAATTTATGCACAAATACACATAGAATTCATGACTGTTGTGCTGCAACTTAGTGTACTTCAAATCCTGTGCTATTGTACTACACTGTGGGGTTTCCTAAATAGTATGCAAGACAGGGAACACTCAAAAACAAACATGCAAATGACAACAATCTCTTCCCAAGTGATTTAAGAAGCTATTGGATGAGAGGAGATTTATATTTTAGTTCTGGTAAATTGGATGGAGCAATCTTTTCACATTTATATGTACTGCACTTAACACAGAGACGTATGTATACCTTTCAGAATTCTCTTAGTAGTATTTAGTGTTTTTGTTGCTTTTTTTTAGTGTTTGGAAATCTCAGTCCCCTGTATCACTCCTATTCTTATTATCACACTTATCCTTTGCTTATCTTAAGCAAAGATCCTGGGTGAACCGACATATATAGTAAGTCGTGTGAATACAGGATATGGCTTTCATTCTCAACCTAGAAAAGTGAAAAGACTGTTACTGTTACTAGAGTTGAAGATAGAATTAGATCCAAATCTCAACCTACTAGTTATGTGATCTTGTGTGAGTGTAACTTTGTGATCCTGAGATTTCACTGTGGGAACAAAGCTAGTGGAGGTGATGGAATTCCAGTTGAGCTATTTCAAATCCTGAAAGATGATGCTGTGAAACTGCTGCACTCAATATGCCAGCAAATTTGGGAAACTCAGCAGTAGCCACAGGACTGGAAAAGGTCAGTTTTCATTCCAATCCCAAAGAAAGGCAATGCCAAAGAATGCTCAACTACCTCACAATTTGCACTCATCTCATACACTAGGAAAAGGAGTACATCAAGGCTGAATATTGTCACCCTTCTTATTCAACTTATATGCAGAGTACATCATGAGAAATGCTGGGCTGGAGGAAGCACAAGCTGGAATCAAGATTGCTACGAGAAATATCAATAACCTTAGATATGCAGATGACACCACCCTTATGGCAGAAAGTGAAGAAGAACTAAAGTGTCTCTTGATGAAAGTGGAAGAGGAGAGTGAAAAAGTTGGCTTAAAGCTCAACATTGAGAAAACTAAGATCATGGCATCTGGTCCCATGACTTCATGGCAAATAGATGGGGAAATAGTGGGAACAGTGGCTGACTTTATTTTTCTGGGCTCCAAAATCACTGCAGAGGGTGATTGCAGCAATAAAATTAAAAGACACTTACTCCTTGGAAGGAAAGTTATGACCAACCTAGACAGCATATTAAAAAGCAGAGATAGTACTTTGCCAACAAAGGTCCATCTAGTCAAGGCTATGGTTTTTCCAGTGATCATGTATGGATGTGAGAGTTGGACTATAAAGAAAGCTGAGTACCAAAGAATTGATGCTTTTGAACTGTGGTGTTAGAGAAGACTGTTGAGAGTCCCTTGGATTGCAAGGAGATCCAACCAGTCCATCCTAAAGGAGATCAGTCCTGGGTGTTCATTGGAAGGAATGATGTTGAAGCTGAAACTCCAATACCTTGGCCACC